CCAAAAAAGGACCAGAATGTTGACCACCACCCATTTGGGCATTGCAGAACTCTAAGGGCCAGTATCACTTATCGCGGCGGAAAACCGAGATTTCAGGCCCGACCTACATGCTAGAAAGCTCTGCCCCCCAGCGTAACCTATACAGAAAAGAGTCAAACCCCTACAAATACAAGCAGCGGATGAGAATGGTGTACAAAAAACGTGTGAACATGCAATGCACTCATGGAAAGATAGCTTAAAGATGGGGATTAGTTGCGCTTTGCTGGGGCGATCGGTCACTGTACGTGCACGAAACAACCTCAACCCAGAAACCCAATAAACCCTAAGACCAAAACCCCAAATCCTAAGCCCTACAAGTAAACCAGAAGCCCCCCCCCCCCCCCAAGAAACCCCTAAACCCTAGCCGTAAACCCTAAACCTAGACCCTAAACCCTAAGCCCTAAACCCTAAACCATAAACCCTAAATCCTACACCCCACCCCCCCGTCCCCAGGGATCAGTTGCGCCTGCGTCGGACGCCAGGGCGTCCACACTCCACACGGTCAGGTGAGAGGTGAGACCTCGAAATTTTCCACGGCCCTTTTTTGGTTTAGGGTTTGGTGTTTAGGGTTTAGGGTTTAGGGTTTAAAGGTTAGTAGCCCATTATCAGTGTAGTTATACCCCACATATAAGCCCTAAATACCCTAATAAGGTTTTCATTGGCTTGGAAGTGCAGTTATAATTGGGTTATGAACCTCCAAGTAGTAGTAGGTATGTTACCCCCCCCTAGGCTCAAACTGACCCCCAAAAACCTGTTATCATATGGCCTTTGGGCCCAAAAACCTTGAAACCCTAAACCCTAAACCCTAAACCCTACATCCTAAACCTTGGAGCCTTAGGGTTCCGAGTTTAGGGACTTGGGTGTGTAGGGGTTTGGGAGTGTAGGGGGTGTTGGGTTTTGTAGTTGAGGGGGCTTGCTGTCTGCGGGATTTGCACGTCAGCTTTGTGGGAGATGAAGGAAGACCCTAAACCCTAAACCCTAAACCCTAAACCCTAAACCCTAAACCCTAAACCCTAAACCCTAAACCCTACGCCCTACGCCCTACGCCCTACGCCCTACGCCCTAAGCCCTAAGCCCTAAGCCATAAGCCCTAAGCCCTAAGCCCTAAGCCCTAAGCGCTAAGCCCTAAGCCCTAAACCCTAGCCTGAAAGCCCTCAGCTCGAAATTGGGGTTTCCGAAGATATAGGGGTACTCTTTTTGGGGGTGTCTATACCCTAGGGCTCCAAGTATACAAATAATACCTACACTGGGGTCTAAAGTCTGCAAATAATACCTACTTTGGGCTATCTGGAGCCTTAGGGATAGTAAGGATTCTAGTATTCGGGGGTATAAGAGCGGTACCCCCTAATTTCGGGAAACGCCCGTATGAAACTGCGAAGACGACTGGAGGGATAGGGCTAGCTGAAGTTTTGAGGCTTAAGGGCTTGGGTGTTGCGCGAGCCTGCAAAACCCTAAACCCTAAACCCGAAACCCGAAACCCGAAACCCGAAACCCGAAACCCGAAACCCTAAACCCTAAACCCTAAACCCTAAACCCTAAACCCTAAACCCTGAAACCCATCCCAAAGTCTATGTCCTTCTAACCCTCGAAGTCTCCGGCACCAATCTGACTTTAGAACCGTCCGGGATTATGGCTTCAGAGTTTGACGGTTCGGATTTAAAGGCTTCGGTTTAGGAGTTTACGGTTTAGCAGCTGAGGGTTTCGGCGCTGAAGAGTGCAGGGTGTAGGGACTAGGTTTTAGGGTTCAAGGTTTGAGGCTCGCACCAAGGATTTCGCTTCCCCGCGCGCACAGGAGCTCTTGCCTAGGCTATCGGCCCGGCGTAGGGTTCATTGCAGCAAGACCTGATAAGTTGCACTTGTTAATTCGTCTGGGGCTGGTCGGAGAATTGGCGGGTCCATACAGTGATGGATCTAAGTGCTCCAAGAAGGCCAAAACCTGCAAGCTCTTCGTAAAGTCTTAGCAGGTTGAGGGAACAAGGTGCCTTCACTCCCCCTAAGCCCTAGGAAGCCCTGCGCCCTAAACCTAAACCCCTGCAAAGGGATCCTTTAGGGTACCTATATAGTTCCCGTGAACCCTACACCCTAAACCCTAAACCCCAAACCCTGACTCTAACCCTAAACCCTATAACGCTCCAAACCTACAGGTCATTGCAGCAGAGGGGCTGCGGATAGTACCTCGGCACAGGAAGGGTTCGATAAGGGCTTAATCAGGGTTTAGTAAGGGTTTGTAGGGGGTTGTTGGGTTTATGGGGTTTGGGGTGTACGGGTCCTTCTCAAGTGCTTATAGGGGATGGTAGGGTTTTTAAATTACGGTTCATAGGGCTTTCTAGAGGGAACAGCCTGGCTGTTGCAACGCGCAAAGGAAAATCATTGTGATGCAGGCCTCACGACAAGAAGTGAAGCTTGAAATGTGCTGCCTTCCTGCTCTAAGAATGGGCACCCCAAAAAAAGTACATTGTTTTCCCCTAAACCCTAAACCCTAAACCCTAAACCCTAAACCCTAAACCCTAAACCCAAAACCCTAAACCCCGAACCCAAAACCCTAAACCCAAACCCCAAAACCCCGAACCCTGAACCCTAAACCCGGATGTATGCATCGTTGCTGCCGGGCAACCAAATCCGATCAACTGGCACCGCGATCTTGAGGTGCCGCATTGCGGAGCCGTCGTGCGCGTGCCACATCCTAGTGGGGGTTTCGGGTTTTGGGTTTAGGGGTTTAGGGGTTTGGGGGTTTTAGGAATTAGGGGTTTAGGGGTTTAGGGGTTTAGGGTTTAGGGTTTAGGGTTCAGCATCTCTGATCCAAGCATTCACCAAGGGTGTTTGGCATCACCCCACCCACCTAGAATCCCTTTCATTTGGCAACCTTATCTACCATTTCAATTCTTACTGCCTTAAGTCCCCTGAACCCTAAATCCAAAATCCTGAAAGCTCCAGAGAGGCCCCTGAATCCTAAATCCTAAACGCCCCAGAAGGGCCCTTAAACCCGAACGCCTAAGTCTTAAAAGCTGCAGAGAGCAATCCTAAATCTTAAACGCCCAGAGAGGGCCCTGAACCCTAAATCCAAAGTCCTACAGGCATTACCCCAAAGCACCACCGCAGCCCCAAATAGATTTAAAAAATAACAAAAAGCTTCAAAAACACACCGAAAAAGGGGGGAGCCTGGTATTTGCCTGCTCCGGCAATATAAAATGCTGATTTTTAGTACTGAAATCGACGGTTTCGGGGCCCCTCTATTTTACCCCAAAGAACCACCACAGCCCCAAATAGCACAGCCCCTAAATAGCTTTAACAAACCCCAAAATGCTTCAAAAAGCTCCTCAAAAGAAGCTTGGCCAAAGGAAGGAGCCTGGTATTGCCTGCTCCCGCAATGAAAGATGCTGTTTTTTAGTACCGGAATCGACGGTTTCGGGACCCCTCCATTTTACCCCAAAGCACCACCACAGCCCCGAATAGCTTGAAAAAGCCGCAAAAGACTTTAAAAAGCCTGGTGTCCCGCGGGCTCCCCGGGACAGCTGTCTTGGTGGCGTTTCGGGGGAGCCCCGGGACATTTGTTTCGGGAGGGACCCGGCGGGGCCCGGGACAACCCGCGGGGGGGCCCCGGGACAACCCGTCCCGGGGGGGCCCCCGGACAGCCCATATTAGGACTTAGGATTTAGGATTTAGGATTTCGGATTTCGGATTTCGGATTTAGGATTTAGGATTTAGGGTTTAGGAGTTAGGATTTAGGATTTAGGAACCACGCAAACGCAAAAAAACCCGACGACCACATTAAGGTTTAAATATATATATATATATATATATATATAGGTAGAGAGGGTTTAGGGGTTAGGGGTTTGTGGCATGGACCTTTAGGGTCTATTTGGCACTTCCTTTTTGTTTGCTATTTAAACGGTTCAATTCACACATACAATTTGTGGGGTTTAGGTTTAAGGCAAAATTTATGGCTTAGGGCTAGTTCGGTTCACGGCTCAGGGCTCCCATGTTTGGCATCACATCTCTTATTTTCCTAGGGCTTCGCCACCTACCTCTCATTCCGTTTTCCATTCAACCCTCGTCTAAGGGTCTGGTGTTTGCGATAAATATACTACTTTAAAAAAATCAATAATAACATAAATAACGCTAACTACAGGAGCTGCTGGAAATGACAAACCCTGAGCGCCTTCAAGTGTGTTGCTTCAATTAAGACGATAATATACTCTTTTGTTGATAAATATTCCCATGACCATATTGTTGTTTCAGCCGCTTTTAGCCTTTTCCTATTAGTATTGTTTTTGTTTACCTGATATAACACCAAGGAAGGGGAAAGGGAAAACACCACTTCATCTCGATGTGTTTATCTCTCCTTTCCTTCCCTCTCAAGATTTTTCTTTTGTTAATCTCCCTCTCTCTCTCTCTCTTCTTCGCTCTGTCTCGCTCTCTCTCTCTCTCTCCCCCTCTCTCTCTCTCTCTCTCTCTCTCTCTCTCTCTCTCTCTCTCTCTCTCTCTCTCTCTCTGTCTGCCATCTCTTGCTCTCTCATCCCTCCCCTCCCCTCTTTCCTTCCTCCCCTCCTTTCCAAAACTTTCTGCGGAGAATAAGGACAACTGTTGCGGACTTTTAGTCGCGATCTGAGCCCTGCAGGTTTGCATGGATGCACATTACAAATCAAGATTTAATTAAGTCAACTCCAAACTCTCATTCTGGAAAAGAGGCAACGAAGAACATGTGCAGCTAAGGTACCTGAGACGGGAGGGTTTTCAACATGCCTCCCGAGCCCAAGTGGTCTACACGCGGGCGAGCTTCAGCACACCCGGCTCAGTAGAAGCACTTTACAAATCATTACAAGTCAAATTTGTTACATTGTTGCCCGGCGAGAGTTGACATCACAGATGTTGGGCTCACACTTACTGCGGCCCAAGGGCTCTTCAAACGGCTTACTTGCTTTGTGAATTTCGAAAACACATGCGGGGCACTAGCAGTGGCTTCAAGTCACAGCCAACGCAAGTGAGTGATTGCCTGTCGAGAACCGACAGTTCATGGCCGACAACAACGCAGAAGCGCGAGCTTCATGCAAATGCTTTGTGAACATGTCAGCCCTGTTCACATCTGTACATATTTTAAACACTTTTACATCTTTGTTGGCTACTCTGTCCTGCAACCAAAGATACTGGGTCTCCAGATGCTTCGCCCGGCCCAGTCCCTTCTTTTCTGCCAACGCCTTCCCGGCAGAGCTGTCTGTGCACAATCGGATACCGACTTCAACGCCGATATCTGCGAAGAGACTTCTCAAACCCATGGCTTGACTGCATCCCTTCAGCATGCCGTAAAACTCGGATTCTCCAGTTGACAAGGCGATCACCGCTTGGTTCGAAGAGTAGCTTCTCAAAGGGCTACTTCCGAAAAACACGGCACCACCACTAGTGGATTTCCGAGTCTTGCCACACCCTGCGAAATCAGCATCAACCTCTGCAACCAGGTCTCTTGGCATGTCTTGCCATTCGAACCACAAGAGCATACGGCGATGCGAGATCAAGTAACGACCAAGCCTGCGCAATCTTCTCATTGATGCTTCTGTCGGGGATGACATTTCGCGAGCGAGTTCCTTCACACAGTACTGGCAGTCAGGCCTTTCAGAACACATATAGGCTGCTCTCATGACACAAGACCTGAACAGAGTGGTATCTGCAGGTGAGAGCCGCTTCTGCGTCAGCTCTGCTTCCTCTTCGGGTTGCAGCTTCACGCCTGGCGTGCTCAAGCCTTTGGCATTCTTCAGGCCCAAGCTGCTGATCAAGATCTCTGCGTGACGAGGATCCGCTTCTAGGGAGTAGCCAGAATTCTCACGAGACAGCAAGCGGCCAAGGATTCGAACACTTTGTCCTGGACTTGAAAGTGTCGCACAAAACTTGCACTTCCACATTTCTCGAAAACGCTCATGCAGCCACTTGATGTCTAGAGCTCTCGCCACAGACACGAAGTCATCACCGTGAACTTCAAGTCGAATGTCTTTGTGCGGATGATAAAACAAGCAACTGGATGCGCGCCCCTGTAAAAACCCAAGTGAGAGAAGCACCTTGGTATACTGTTGCTCCCAGTTGTGGGCCGCATCTCTTGTGCCATACATACTCTTCTTCAAAACAGCGACATGTTCAGGCATTTCCATTTCGGGCGGCAGCTCTACGACAACATACCTGGTGGCGTCTGCGCACCAATGTGCACGGCTAATATCAACGAAATCCATGACATACTCCGGGTTAGTAGAGGCTACAGCAATGAGTGCTCGCAAGCTTTCTGTTGGCGGCGTCGACGCATAGAAACCAACCTCAGATGGCTTGTGTCCCTTAACTTCTTTCGCCACAGTCCTGGCGCGGTAACTGGGCGATTTGGAATCACCTTTGTTGACCAGCACCCACCTTGTAGGTATGACTTTGGTCCCACTTGGCAGTTCTGACCTCAGAACAGGCGTCCACAAGCCCATCTCGTCAGCTATGCGCAGCTCCTCCTTTTTCGCAATCTCTACCAAGCGAGAGTTGAGTCCTAAGCCACTGACGTCATCGAAGTACTCGTCCCAGCAATCTTTGCTATGACTCTGTTCACACAAACTGGGTTCATCGCAAATGGGCTCCTGAACCGCAGCATCCATTGAGAATACTTCGCTCCGATGACTCAGGATGGCCTCTTGCAGCATGCTCTCGAAAGAATCCGTCATCGCTGTCTGAGCTTCCGGACCCAAGCTCTCAGGTTCTGCAGTCCGTCTCTCATCCATGGCTTCAGGCGGCTGCTCGGCAGGCCGTTTGGATGATGGGGACCTTGCCTCCTGAGCAGAGTCCACTGCTGCACTTGACTCAGCTGCCACTGCCACATCACCAGGTTGTTGCTCCAATCTGGCTCGCTTCACGGCTTTCTGTTCCTCGTCATACTTCTCCACCTGTCGGGCCAGCCATTTGTCACGTCTTCCGTCTGCAGAAGTGACTTTGGAAACCAGTTCTTCATCTCCGCTGGCTTTCCATGCTGCTTCAAACCTGGCCCTACACTCCTCACTATGCTTGCCATAGAGGCCACGCCTTAACTTATCACACCCATCGCAAAGTGGAGTGAAACCGAACTTTAAGGCGTCAGACATACGGATGGCTGCCCTCCTGGGAGCACGGTGGGCATTAACCACGAACGGCACTGGCAGACCTTGTGGAGGCATTTCAGGAACAACAACTTGCGGGGCTTCACCGCCTTCGGCGTTCAACCCCCACGGTGTAGCCCTCATGGACAAAAGCTTCTCTTTGTGGGGCCACAACTGAGTCTCGTGTGAAGCTCTTACGCTCCACACTTTGACTACTTTCATGGTCTCAAAACACAAAACAAATCGTTCGGTGGTCAGGTCGGAAGTGCCAAGGTAGCATCCCTCTGACCATCTTGGCGCGAGTTTGCCAGCTACAGCTTTCAGTTTAAACACTATTGCAGCACCAAATTCAAAAACTGGCTCTCGCCAGGGTCTGCCTCTCAAGTTCTGATAGGCAGTCCTTCCAGATGCCGTTCTGTGAAAATGATGCAACAACCACGACGCATGCCGAACTAACCAAGGAAAAATGGCATGGTTCGCCGGGAACTCGCACTGCAAACGTTCGTGCAACATACTCAGCAATGTGCGGGCTTGTTCCTGCACGCTTCTACAGGCACGCTCCACAAAACCGTTGGCCTCGCTCTCTTCAACGGGACTGTGCTCAAAGGTAACTTTGACTTCAACAGGAAGCAAGGCAACTGCTGCACGAGCTAATGCCACCAAGGAAGGCTCGCCATCTGTCTTGAGTGTAAACTCGCGATAGCCTAGCACACGGAAAATGTCAGCAAGTGCTTGAACACTGTACTCATGCACACAGCCTTTTGAGGGAACTAAGCGCGCAAAGACAGCCAGGTCGGGCTTGGATTTGACAACCATCACAGGACTTTCGCTCGCGTTTCCCTCGCTGCTGCTCAAAAAGCAATAGTCAATGGCCACCAACGGCTTGGTGTACTCCGTATTTGAAGGCTCTTTGTGCGCCAAAGCTGGAGCTTTGCCCCGGATGCAATGGCGGCACCAAGGACGAAAAGGCAAATGAGTGAGACAATGCTCTCGGACTTCCGAGTCCGAGGGCAGAACTGGAGATTTGGGAGTTGTAGCAGCTTGCGCTTCAGCATGCTCCGAATCTCCGTGCTCGTCGTCTTGAGGACTTACAGTGTCGTGCCCCAAGACACCACCTGCCTCCGGAAACCCTGCCCTTCAGCAGAAACGACACCGACAACACCTTGCACACCCTGGTGCTCTCCTACACTCACAGGCGCTACAGGGGCAGAGTCTCCAGATCCAGACCCTCCACCTTCACTAAAGGGGGCTAAAGGAACCACGCTTGCGACTCCGCCACTGGAAGGTGACAGCCACACGCCAACTTTGTAAAGACCCTTCGTCTCTTCCATCCAGATCTTCCAACAACCCTTTGGTTGGATGTAGCTGTTCCCTTCCTCGAAGTGACAGATGCCACCTTTGCTACAAACATCCGACACAGCAAGCAGCGGTTTGTGTATATCGGCCACTGCGGAAGAAAACGAAACAGCTACCCCAGAGTCCGTGAATGCCCTTAGCTTCTTACAGCCTTGGTCCGAAACCGTGTGGCCAGTTGCAGTTTTAAACTGCCGACCAAGCTTGCTCGTCTCACTCACTTGGACAGGCTCTTTCGGCGCAATGCATGGCGGAATTGCAGTAGACCCGGCTCCGGAATCAACAGTGAGCTCCACGCGCGACCAACCTTGCTGAACAGTGTGCCAGGACTGGGAAGCAACAAACTGATGGTCACCATCCACGTGCGCGAGGTCTACTTCAAAACCGCCAGCTTCAACCGGCTCTTGCTGCTGAGGGGACTCATCCAACGTGTTCAAGCTCTTGTCCTTGCCCTTCGCAGACTTAGATTTAGACTTAGACTTGCCTTTGCTTTTGGGTGCTTTGTCAGGGTACTTGTCCCAACAGTCAGCCTCCTTGTGGCCTTGTCGATGACAGAAGTTGCAGTTACCAGGAAACTTCTGAGACTTCCCTTTGCCACTAGGAGTCTTGCCATGTGGGTTCGGAGCACCTTTTCCTTTTCCTTTGGAAAAGGAAGCAAGCAAAGAGCTCAACTCCTCAACAGACTTGACACCAAGCTGTGCGAGACTACCGATGTCCATAGGCACGGGCCCTGTGGAGGATGAAGAAAGCGACTGCGAGGACTGCGACGCTAGTTGGGTCTGAGCTTGCAGTTCAAGAAAGTGCACAACCTCCGCACGTGCCTTTTCATACGTGTCGAAACTTTTCAAGTTCAACTGCATGTGTGTCTTCAAGGGATCTACCAACATCTTCAACAGCATCACGCGCTTGAAGCCATCAGACAGTGTGTCTAACGTGCGTGTTTCGTGCTTGGTCATCATTTCTTCCCTACGCTCCAACTCGGCAAGAATCTCCGTAGGGTTAGTGCTGGAGAAAGGACCCAGGTTCACTATCTGCGTTAGCAAAGAAAGATCTGTCTCCTCTGACTGGGGATCAAACCGATGACACAAGCGACGAAACGCGTCCAAACCAGCACTCGGCCCTTTGAAACTCTTCTCTACAACAGCAAAAGCTTTACCTTCACAAACGGAGAGAAGAGTTGCATTCAAATGGGCAGATATCCGCTCAGCATCCGGATGTTTGCTGGTCAAACTCTGAAAACGTGCAGCATCTACAACTGAGGTTTCGTCGTCAAGAACATCCGTCAGCAACTTTTCGGCCGACTTGAATGCGGTTTGCACCCAGTTGACGTACTTGAGCTTCCAAACCCTGAAATCTTTTTCAGCTACTTTGTCCGTCAACTTTTCAGGCTGCCCAACACCGCGAACGTCTACAAGGCTACCCAGTCTTTGCTCACCAGAGGAACTCAACTTGCCTAGCGCTTGCGTGAAATGCTGATGCTGCGCAGTCAGTGCTTGCTGCATCACTTGTATCCTCTGCTCGTGGGACTCCTGCTGCTGTTGCAGCAGCTGCTGGGTTTGAGATTGCAACGCTTGGATGAGCTGTTGCATCTCCGACATTCTGAAACTGGGTGTGACAAGGTTTCGGCTCACGTGCTTTTCAGGTTTCCCAAAGGAACTCAACCAGAGCTCCGCACTACCATGTTGCGGACTTTTTAGTCGCGATCTGAGCCCTGCAGGTTTGCATGGATGCACATTACAAATCAAGATTTAATTAAGTCAACTCCAAACTCTCATTCTGGAAAAGAGGCAACGAAGAACATGTGCAGCTAAGGTACCTGAGACGGGAGGGTTTTCAACAACAACAGAGAACAAAAAGGAAAAGATAGGATGAAGGCAGATGGTGGGGACAGGAAGGGAGAACTCCTCTTTCGCTCGGCTCACACGTTTTCTCTTCCCTTGCCTTCATCCTCTGCTCTTCTCCCTTTTCTCTTCATAAGAAGAAAGGACAAATGAAAGGAACCGAAAGCTCAGGGAAAGCAAGACGCCCTCGCTCTCATCATCTGCCCCTTCCTCGACTTCATTGCTCTATTCCTTGTTCTTCTCTCCTGTCTCATTGGTGATCAGTGATAAACCAAGACGAGCTTGCCGTTCTTTCATTTTCTTTTTCTGGTGGAAAGCTAAGAAGCAGGAAGGAGAGGAAGGAAAGTGGAGAAATAGAAAGAGAAGCAAGAACGGAAAGAACAATACGCAGAAATGACAGAGAGGAAGGGAGAACTGCAAGCCCAGCAGAAGAAGAAGAAGATAGAGAGAGAGAGAGAGAGAAGAGATGAAGATAAGATAAGGGTGAAAAGGTGAAAAGAATGAAAACAAAAATCTAACAGCAAAGTAGCTAAACAAAACCTTCTGGCCTACCCCCTCAACTCTAAACCACCCTAAACCCTCGGTACATTGAGATATAACGGCACAGTTCCCGTAGCATGCTATATCAGAAACCATTTATTCCTACGAGACGTACAACCGCCTAAAACACGGTGACAAAAAATAAAACAGCGAGGCATCTGAAAAGACTTTCTGGCCTTCCCCTTCAACTCTAAACCACTAAACCCTCGCTATATAAAGGCTTAACAGCACAGTTCCCGTAGCACGCTATGTCATTTCTTCTTACGAGACGCACAACATAAACCAAGGTTTCGTATACTTTTTTGTAGTCAGGATGTGATATCCTGTTGCTTTGGACGAGTATTACGTAAGACTTTAAGCGCCTGTGGGTCTTGCGGATAATTGGAGAATAAGCATCATCCTTGACAAATGATAACCATGATGGGAGACCTGTGGGAAGCATTGAGAATGAAAAAGCAAGATACTTGCGAGCAATTACTTGCAGCCTGTTGGAAGGTCTCAGGAAATCGCGAAAGGACATTTGCTCACAGTATTCTCGTGTCCCTGGGGCTTAAAGTAAATGATTTTCCGCATTACCCTATGCGCTCGAATACTTCTGAGTCTCATGGTTCGTTCTCCGCTATCGGTATTTGATACGCCATACATTTATCCTATATACACACTTGATGTGGGCACCTATTCTACGTACTTTCTCTTTGCGTTTTGCTGACTGAGAGATGTTTTCGGGTGTGAAAAGGCCTTACGCGCCAACATCTGCTTCTGGACAACAAAGTAGAGATAATATGTTTTGTGAAGGGGGGGCCAAGACAGTGCTTAATCGGCCCTGGGTTTGACGATTGAAGATTGAAGACGCCGGGGAACTCTCCCCGGATTGAAGATGCTCCGGGGAGAGTTCCCGGGCATCTTCAATCTTCAACCTTCAAACACAGGGCCGATTAAGCGCTCCACCTGCTGCTTAATCGGCCCTTGGATTGAAGATTGAATATTGAATATGCCGGGGAACTCTCCCAGGAGTATCTTCAACCCCAGACCCCTGCCGATTAAGCACTTCATCTGCCTAGTCGGCCCAGGGTTGAGAATCCAGGATTGAAGGTGCTCCGGGGAGAGTTCCCGGGCATGTTCAATCTTCAAACCCAGGGCCGATTAAGCAGGCGGAGCGCTCAATCGGCCTTGAGGCCGAAGGATCAGGATTGAAGATTCCCGGGGAGAGTTCCCCGGCATCGTCAACCCGATTAAGCAGCTGGAGCGCTTACTCGGCCCTGGGGTCCAGTAGTTCAATATTTCATATGCTCTGCTAAAGTCTGTAGAATTTTCAAGCCCCCCTCCCAAAGACCCATCTGTATTTTGGTGTTTGGGATACCGTAAGCCAAAGCTAAATGAAAGGGAAGAAGTCCCTTTTTCCTCTGCCAATCTTCTTCCTCCCACTCCTCTCTTCCTCTCCTATTCCTTTCTTAGTAGAGCATGGAGTGATGAGAGGGAAGGGGTGAAAGCGGATGAGAAAAGTGACAGAGAGGGCAGGGCGAAATCTTCATTTCCTTGCCTTTTTCGTCCCTCTCACCTCTCCTTCTCATCGTTCTCTTGCTTTCTCGTTTGAGAAGGATGTGGACAGGGCATGGAACAAGGCGAGGGAAGGGGGGGGGGGGGCGAAATCGAGTGAGAAAGGATGGAACAAGGAAGAAATGAGGAAAAATGGACAGGACAGGTCAGGTGTTTGGTTTGGCGACTATACACGTACCTGGACCAGCACAAACCAAAGAGAAAAAGCAAATCCAAATCGCCCACCTCCCGCTCACCCGTCTGAAAAAAACAACAAAAATGCATCCGTAGCGAGTGTTCGCCTACGGTCAAATCGATCTACAGAGGTCCCGGCACATCCCTTGTCGAACAGGCAAAAAAGCAGAAACATAGCAAGGGGGGGTCGGGCTTGCCATTGGTGTTGGCATGTGGCCAAAACACCGCCACAAGGGGATCGTGTCCCCCTGCACCCTTCGGCTAGTCGTGCCAGCCAATCCCTTGACAGGCAAAATCCGACCACGACGTATCGACGCCTCCCCCCGCCACGAACCCGCCTTTTTCGTAGAAGCTGTCAACAGGCCCGATTTCGCCGATTCCGAACCGGCTGAAAACGACGACACACTCGCAACAGCATGTGAACAAGCGAGTGAGGGTACTCTGGGTGTGAAGTTACCGCAAAAACCTCGAGAAGAACTTGACCGAGAGTATCTTCGTCCGACAGCCCACCCAGGAAGCTGCCCGACACGACACCGCTTCGAGAGAAGGCGGCGAAGGCACTCCATGAGCACCCCCCCCAACACCTTCCCCCGAACAAAGAAACCCAATGAGCAAGACCGCAAGAGTGCGGACGCCGTTAAGAGAATTGGCGGCACTCTCACCCCATCAGTATAAAAGGCCCACCAAACTGTAACCAACCAAAGTGACAAAGGTGACACCCCTCAGGGTATGGAGTTGGTCTCAGTAGGGGCACTACCTTACCCCTAGCTGAGTCCCTTCCATCGCCCACGTGGAGGCCTCCGCCGTCGGGGTGAGGAAACATGGCTCAGAAGAGGAAGCGAGAGATACCCTATCCCATCCCAATGTTGCTATCTCAGGGGCCTCCCGAATGCAGGGGCCTTTAGAGGCTAGAGCTTCCAGTAGCATCCAACCCTCCCTCCCAGCTCGACATGAGACATTGCCTCTCCTCCCCTCCCCTCACCTCTTCCTTTCCTCGGACCATAGTCCGCAATCTTATAATGCCCTTCATTCTCCTTGCTTAAGCTTGCCTTTTCTATCTCCCTACTTAATGGCAAAAGGAACAGAAGAGGAAAGGCTCATGGGCTGGACACGAGAAAAGCGAGAGCGGGGTCAAGGAGGAGAACGAACATGGAAAAGAAAGGAAGGAGAGCTAGAGGGAAGATAGAGAGATAGAGAGGAGAAATGAAGGACAAAGACCGTGGAAGAAAGGCGTGACCAATGCTCGGGACATAAGTGTAAGGGGTGAGGAAAAGGAACAGTGGATAACAAAAACAAGTGTCCTGCTTGACCCTTTTTGTTCTCCAAGCGGCCCTCTTTTCACCATCGCTTCCTTCTTCCTCTCCTTCATTGTTTTTGTTTCCTTCACCCTGTTCCCCTATCTGTCGCTCTTCCACTGTCTTCCTTCTTCCTCTTCTCCCTAATTGTTGTCTCTTTCTCTTTGCTTCTCTATCTGTCTCCATCTCTCTCACTCCGGTGCTCCCCGGCGTTTTCTGTTCAATTGCTCATCCTTTCTGACTTTACGAGGCGGACCCTTCTTCCTCCCACTCCTCTCTTCCTCTCCTATTCCTTTCTTAGCATAGAGCATGGAGTGATGAGAGGGAAGGGGTGAAAGCGGATGAGAAAAGTGACAGAGAGGGCAGGGCGAAATCTTCATTTCCTTGCCTTTTTCGTCCCTCTCACCTCTCCTTCTCATCGTTCTCTTGCTTTCTCGTTTGAGAAGGATGTGGACAGGGCATGGAACAAGGCGAGGGAAGGGGGGGGGCGAAATCGAGTGAGAAAGGATGGAACAAGGAAGAAATGAAGAAAAATGGACAGGACAGGTCAGGTGTTTGGTTTGGCGACTTTGCACGTACCTGGACCAGCAGAGCGACAAGCCCAAACCAAAGAGAAAAAGCAAATCCAAATCGCCCACCTCCCGCTCACCCATCTGAAAAAAAACAACAAAAATGCATCCGTAGCGAGTGTTCGCCTACGGTCAAATCGATCTACAGAGGTCCCGGCACATCCCTTGTCGAACAGGCAAAAAAGCAGAAACATAGCAAGGGGGGGTCGGGCTTGCCATTGGTGTTGGCATGTGGCCAAAACACCGCCGCAAGGGGATCGTGTCCCCCTGCACCCTTTTCGGCTAGTCGTGCCAGCCAATCCCTTGACAGGCAAAATCCGACCACGACGTATCGACGCCTCCCCCCGCCACGAACCCGCCTTTTTCGTAGAAGCTGTCAACAGGCCCGATTTCGCCGATTCCGAACCGGCTGAAAACGACGACACACTCGCAACAGCATGTGAACAAGCGAGTGAGGGTACTCTGGGTGTGAAGTTACCGCAAAAACCTCGAGAAGAACTTGACCGAGAGTATCTTCGTCCGACAGCCCACCCAGGAAGCTGCCCGACACGACACCGCTTCGAGAGAAGGCGGCGAAGGCACTCCATGAGCACCCCCCCCAACACCTTCCCCCGAACAAAGA